ATCAGCAGAGGCAAATGATCAGATTCACTAACTAAAAATAAAAATAATTAAAATAAGACAGAGAAATATAAGCTCAGTGGTTTATAAACCAGAGGGCCTTGACATCTACTTATAGCAAGCATGACAAAGTAAAGACAGTAGGGTAAAAGTCATCCCTTTAATCTCAAGGTCTGAACTCATGACCTGCCATCTCCTTCTCAGAATTACAGCTGTTGCCTTCTATTTCTGACTTGCATGGTGATGATTTGGGCTATACCTCATTAAGTAACACACAAATGGTATCTGTAAATATTGGATTCCTAACAGAGCGTCCACTGGAGTTTATTCAACAAATTAAAACCAAGTAATTCAAGTTAGAATGTGCACCCAGATTGCACTGTCGTTTTGTGTATAGCAAGATTAATTTACAGCAACTTCAAAAATGGGCCAGGCAGTAATGCCATATTCAAATCATATTCTGCAGCTAAAAAATCAAATAGCTCTGAGTCTGGCCTCCTGACTTCTTCACGAGCTGCCTATGCAGTCTGCACAGATGAAAAGCTCTAATAAGATAACACAGCTTCAGAAATGTTTCATTCCTAATGGTTTTTAAACAACACATGTTCAAGAACATCCTAGAAAGCTTACAGAAAGCAATGCATTGTTTCTTATTACTTCATGAAACAAAACCAAACCACAACCAAACCAGACCTCATGCAGTACCAAGCTTTTGGTTTTGCATTGCATTCATCAGATTAGTGCAGAGGTCTTTGCCTCTCTGCCTTACTCGTTTTTGACCCCATTTTCTATGCCTGACTACTGAAATCAATGAATGAAGCATTCCTGAATGGCTGATCAAACTACATCCTCCCAGACAGATGGTTTGAGCTTGGTGACTCCATCTAGAATTAGAACAGAAAGATCTACTTCTGTATTAGTACTTTTGATCCATATCTAGATTATTTTAGAGCTGGATCTTGAACAGGCCACCTTTGTGGAATGGCAAAGATGTTCAGTATTTTTTTCTCCTGAATCAATGATCTTTTAGATGAGATTGCAATTAAAGTAACCTACCCCCTGGTTTCAGCTGGGCTCTATGGACCAGTCTCTAAATTTCCCCATCATGGATAAAGATTGACAGCTGAAATCCTCCTCTCACATATTCCAGTGTCATTTGAACATCCACCTTATCAACAATTAAATTAAGAGTGTAAAAATGCCTACAAATTGGCTGCAAATGTGCATCAGACCCAGCAGAGTCTCACATAAAAGACCTGAGTCCACAAGCTCATCACTTTAGTCCTATGAAATTAAAAGCAATTAATTCACCATGAGACTGATAGTCCAGCAATGTGCTTCAGCAGCAACTGAAGTGAATAAGACTTGTGTCTGGGAGGCACAATACTGACATAGAAATACACATATTTAGCTTCTTACTTGAACTATCTTCTTTACATAAGATGCACTCCACTTCTTATATTCCAGGCAATGAAAAAAAATTTAAAAAAATTAAAAATAACAGTCCAGCAGTTAAAAAAAAAAAAAAAAAAAAAAAGGCAAAACATAGCAGATGGAGAGAACAGCAGTGGCACTGGCAATCCTGGTCTGACCTGCAGTGCTACAACATCAGAAATATGTTCAGCATGTTGAAAGGGCTGACTGGTCCCTTTCTAACACAATCCACAACAAAGAGTATCAATGTATCATCCTCCCAATTTGAGCAATCTTCACACTTGGGTCCGATACATTGTTTTGGCTGAGTAAAGCATCCTTAAATTGACGATCTTGTCTGGAGGTTCTGGAAAACCTTCAGTCTTTTTCTGTTAATCACGAAGAGGCACTTCATAATTTTATGACGTCTTTTCTTAACTAAGAAGTATTTATTTTGTACGGATGTCCCAAATTTCAGCAGGTTCTCTTAAATACTTCACTCCTCTAAAAACCCACCATATACAAAACCACACTGGTAACTGTTGTTACCTTTTGTACAAAATCACACTATTGCAGCAATATTGCACCACAGTGCAGTGTGAGCCTCTTTTGAAACTCGTTGGGGTTGCAAGTGAGGATGCAGAACAGCCTGTGGTGCAAAGACTGGCAGTGTGTGTTTGACTGTCCTTCTCCAAGCAGCCCTGCGAGGTGTGACTGGGAAGGTGCCATGGGCAGGTATGGCAAAGGCTCAATTACCAACTCTCCAGTGACAGTTTTCATTCAGCTGCCTGACCTCAGGCACCCTTCCTGAAATGGACACAGGCCAGCTCTTGTCTCTGGACATAGGGTACCCTAAGTTAAAGGCTGCTTTACTGTCCACAAAACTTGCAATTTATAGGTCACTTAAAAACCAACGAAAATCCTCTTGAGATAAAACTGTACTCAAACTGAAAGTCCATGCAAAATCCACATAATCAGGAAAGCCTGTCACTATCCTGTTGCTTGAATCAAGCAACACATTTAAGCTTTTCTGTTCTGAATAAGATGAGAATGTCCTCATTTATCAGGATAGAAAAGCACAGTTCAAAGCAAGAGTGATTGAATAGCCATGGGCCTTAAGTCACAGTCTCCACAATTACATTCATAACACACTTTAAAATGGGCTCATAAGCAGCTAGTTGAATCCTTAAGTACTTCAGATTTTAAAATTATGGCAAACAACCCCCGTTACCTTCTTCTTATGATCACATATGCCTACAACACATTGACCTTAAGAACTATTAACATAACACCAGCAGGTTTGATATTTAACCATTTCTTAATTATGGCAAGCAGTTTCGGTAAGAAATGTAACCAGCTTATCTTGCAAGTGAACTGTTTCTATTAATTATTCAGCTCCTTCTGAGAACACTATGTCTGTAAGAAATCCTAGTGGTATGAAAACCTCAATGCAAGTCTGATCCTGGTTAGCAGTTCACAATTAACATCACCACATTTACTGAAAACAGAGTGAAGAAACACAAGGAAAATGTTGGAAAATGATGCTCCAAAAGTTCATGCACTGGCATGAGAGAATGGGCTATTGACCCAACTGTAGCATTGTGAGGAAATAATGCTTTTTATGAGTATTGCTAAAATAACCTTCCGAAGTACCTCTTGGAAACTGCTTGTGCTCATGAGCTCACATCCAAAAACTTGATGAAAGTACCCTAAGTAACAATTTTGTATGCAACAGGTTAAACACATGGATTTAAAAGCAAAAATAAGTAATTTCAAGGGATGGAGCATTACATAAACACAAGGACCTTTTGTGTTGAAGGTATTCGGTTTGACTGAAGTTTCATTTTTAACATGTCCTTTAAGACAGAAAAGCAATTAAAAAGATGCATTTGGAAACAAATGCTTTGTCTAAGAAGGATCAGCCATTGCTAAAACTCTGAAGAAAAATGGTTATGAAAAAGCCCTTATCTGCTAGATCACTTACAGAGGTGAAACACTGGAGGTTTACATACTGCAAAAGGTTAGAAACCCCAGCTTTAGAACAGCAATAAATGTACAGTCTTCCACCATCTGTTAATCAAGAACTTCTTCAGTCTCCAGTGTCTGAGGTCTTAGACTCCCGAGTTTAACATCTTATTTAGCACAAGGACCCAATCTGTGTAACATGATCCTGAGCCTCCACTACCTCAAGCCTTCTCCTGGCCCTCTCACTCCTTACCTCAGCAAGTCTTGAAGAAATCATTGAGCAATTTGCAGGGATTGGAAGTGAACAATACTGATGACTGCTCTGTGTGTATATTAACTGTGCCAGGACTCATTTCATAAGAACGAGAAGCTTGTCATTTTCAGTTGTGCAGAGTGTTTTGTGCCAGATGACTTCTGCCTTCCTCCCTGGAGACAGCTACTGAGCCAGCTCTGAACAGATGCAGCTCTACAGACCACCTTCTTCTGGAAGCATCAGATAGTCAAAAAACTTTTATGGCCTCCAAACAATTAATTTCTCTCTTTAAAACAAATCAGACAAAAACGCCCTATCTTCACTAGGAAGCAGCTTCCAGCTCTTTTGTTCTGCTCAGCTTGTGAACCCAGGAGACTCTGCCTCACAGCTGCAGAAGTGGGAGCTTTTCCCTCCAGGTTTCAGCAGAGTTAAGATGCTGTGGTATAGTGGCATCAGGCACAACGAGGATATTCCATCACCACTCCCAAAGTGTCTCCCTACCAGGAGGCTGAAGAAAAGCAGGGTCAAGACAGTTATTTTTTTTCCATAGGCCAACTCATGCTTTCCTTGCTGAAAAAAAGTTAGCACAATTAATGTGAAGAGAAACTAAACCAGGGGACAAGAGACATGGGGAAGAGCTGACCCTGTGCCTTCTCTTATTAAGCAAAACTCCTGCTTTGCGTGCAATCCATAGAATATTAAACTTTACATACTCTGGAGTTGGCTTGAAGCCTAACAAAACTGGAACCACCCCATCCTTATTGGCTTTATATAGATAGGTACAGAAATATACAAAGTTGAGATGATTCATGCTCTCTGGAATGAAGGGCAGCAGCACAGCTTTGCTTGAGCACAGATATTCATGGGAGCAGGAAAAACAGAGCGAGCACTCTGCTGGGAAAAGCTGCTGAAGGTTGTTGGTAGCTGTTGAAGAGGAAGAACATTACTGAAAAAGGGGGTGGGGCAGCCCAGAGAAGAGACTGGAAGATGCCTGGGCCAAAGATGATCTTTTGAACTTCTAGTCAACAAAAACAGAACTTGTGAAATAAAGCAGCCTAAAATCAAAATATGTAATTAGCAGTTTTAGCAACTCTCGGAGCTCCTCGGCATATAGCACAAAAAAGGACAAGGCAAAAAGTATAAAATTTAAATAACTACTCAATATACATAAAAATGTAAGTACTATGCCTTTTAAAAGGCAATAAATGCTCTCCCCATATAGGCTATGGACTCTAAATGAAATGGAAGCTCAAAATACCTTTAGGAATATTGACAGATTCCATATTTTTCTTAAGCACACATGAGACACCTCAGTGTTTCATTCAAAATATTACTCCAAAAATGCACAAATAAACACCCAAGTATTCTAAAATTATTTGGAAAGCATTCTGAAATTTTTAATAATCACCTCATGATGTCACAGTTCCTAAGGAAAACTTAAGATTATTTTCCAGAAGTTTGATTATGGAAAGAAACTGCTGATATGAAACTAGAGAACAACTGCAGATTTAAGGGTGCTGATGTCATTTTTCCACAGAAAGCAGCTGAACTCTGTAGAGAGAGAGAGCAGTGCCAGGTTAGAATGTTATGCTGTTCCATGGGCTCAAGCCCCATTGCAGCACGTTTCTGCACTGCACTGGTGAGATGGTGACTCTCAGTGCACAGCTGTACAGACGTCAAGCCTTCAGAAGCTGGGATAACCATATGTCAAACTTCTGTGGTTTTGCCACTTGGTATTTTGGGTGTATGCCTTCATTTGTGATAATAAATATCAGGCCACAAACGAATGTCTCCTCAGATATCTAATACACTCAAAACAGCTTGAAAATCTAAACATTTCTGCTGTTAGCTTGGAGTTCTCCTGGAAGAATTATGCTACAATATATACCAGATGAACAGGCTAGGGATAAGACAATGATTGCCAGTTGTTGGGATGGGTTTCTCTGCCATTTTGTACCCATATTTTTTATCCTGCAGTACACACAAAGTTCAAACAATGCCTTTGTTAGGAAAATCGAAATCCTACTGCACATTTCCATGCTGAAGACTGAAAATTTCGAAGTTGTTCCTAATCATATCTTGCCTTTAAGCAGGTACAAAGAAAGGTTTGTCTGTAAGGCATCTGTAGAAATGGACAAAACAGTACTATGTATTTTAGCTATCAATTAATGGGCCCCAAGGCTTTTTTCTTCACATAGCAAATGGGGAAACGTGATAGCAAAGTTCAACAAATGACACAGCATCAGACAGTCAGTCTGGAACAGCAAAGGCAGCAGAATTCAACACCAGCCTCTCATTTAGAACACCCTTATCACCACACAATTCCTTCTGTATGCACATGCTTACATAAAATATATTATTATTGTGTGCATTAGCTTCTGCACTTGTGCAGCCAACAATTACTGAGTAGAAATTGCTGCAGTTTAATGAAAGGCAATTGTGTTATCCTGACAGATTACTTCCAAATTTGTTACTGTTATGGCCCACACTAAGAGGAAGGGCTCTGGTTTGACCCTTTGCACACCTGAGGAATTAGCATAAGAGCTGACTAAACCCACAGGATGAATCTCAGAGCTCCAGCTCCTCACTGAAAAAGGCCAGAACACCACAACTGCAAATGAAACAACAATGAACACCATTTTCTGTGGTATTTTTAGAAATGCTCTCCCTTCCCAGTGAAACCAATGGCAATGACTGTCCATTCCTCTCCTACCAGACTCTTAGCTTATACAATCTCAGACTTGCAATGGAAAAACTATATATATATATATATATATACATATATATATATATATATATATATACACACATATATAAATACTAAACCCTATCAGTAGGGTCAAATCTCTGCCTTTACAATTCTGTTTCCAGAGCTGTCTCCAATCAAACTTATGTTCCAAGACCAGAACTATCACATTAATGGTTACTTTCCTTCATTATCTACAGAACCTTTTCTGGCCAAAGTAGTAAAGACTCTATAGGAGTCCAATAACTTTACAAGGTGACAGCATTTCTGTGTTTATTGTAAGCCATTTCTATTGCAAATTGCAACAATTTTTCAAAGTGCAGCAGCGATTTGGAAATGCAGGCACACTAATACATCAATTGCCATGACTAATGTGTAAACTTTTAATGACCTTGGCAAAATCTATCTTTCATTGGGCAAGTGCCACTATTTTGACTGCACAAAATGTTTTGGAAATATGTTGAAAATTATACTTGTTTTGGAAAATATTTCAGGATTTCAGTATAGCAAATAGAACTATATTAAATAAAAGTTTGACATGGAGGAGAAAACACTCCAAGGTTGTGTAAGTCTTTTTTTTTTCTTTTTTAAAAGAGGTATCCTCCAAGTGTTGTACATTCATAGAATGCTGACTTTTTATCCAAACAAACTTAAGAAGATAAAACATTATCTTGAATGGTTTTCAGTTTCATTCAGTCACTGTCTTCTTCTTGTTTAAGACCATCTCTTTCTTCATTGTTGCCCTCTCCATCACTTTCCTTGTCCCAGTCCTTCATAGATGCTCCCATCATGAAGTCATCACGCAGTATATTCCATTCTGGCCCCTCTTCAGACTTCACTTCACCCTGAATGTTTGAGGGGAAGAGAAGAAAGATCAGAAGAACGAGATAAATGTAGAAGGCAGTAAAAGATGCAAGGTGTCCTTGCCATCAAAACAACATCTCCTACAATCAGCAGACTGAGGGCCAGGTCTTTGTGCAAATGATACAGAAACATGCAGAACAATCAAAAATTACTTGATGCTAAAATGCAAACTTGTTTTAACCAACCAATAGAAGAAATATGGAAACAAAACAATTATTCCTCATGGATGAAACAGTCAACCCCGGGCATGGCTTCCTTTATTAAAATCTTTCTTGGCAATCAGAATGGATTCATGATATCATTTATTAACCCCCAGGTGCTGCTTCATTAGAACACTTCTTGGCACATTTCTAAAACACAAATATGGATTTAATAAAGGCTTAAACCCCCCCCCCCAAATTTAATATTTAACATATTCGGTGATACGTGAACCAAATCCCCTTTATGTGAATTATTACCTCACTACCTGGGCTTGTCATATGGTACAAAGCTGCCTCTAAAAGAAACAAAGTTGAGCTACTCTTAGCAAGCCAACAACACCTTACTCCAAATTTCCTACCTCTTGGAAGTGTATAAGCGCGGGGCCCACTGCACGGGCTGGCGAGTAACAAAGAGAAGGGCCGGGAGTGAGTTTCAGGTTAGCGCTGGAACCAGCGCTTGGTCGCGGTTCTGGAGGTGACAGATCAGGTTTGGGCAGTGCAACACTCCCATCCTGTGGCAACACTTTCAAACAGCAGCTGGAAGCTCTGCCTGCGTCCTTTCCGCAGGAAAACACCGAAAGCTGCTCAATGTACTGAGGAAGGATTTATTTCGGTGTTTACGCCCGAGCAGCGAAACATTTCTGAGGAACAACATGGCTCAGTGTCCAGCAGACAAGCAAAAAATTGCCCTACCAAAATGGAATTAGCAAATGCACTGGAAACAGCCATTTAGTTCTGCAGAGTCTCTGAAAATAAAGTTAACACTGGCACCCCAGGGAGGCTTTCTCCACTCTCCTGCTCCAAAGAAGGGACCTCAGCATCCTCTGTGGACAGGATTTGCCTACTGGATGCAAAACCTGCAGTAAATGTATGATCACCTTAGACATCTGTTCACACCTTTTCTCTGCCATGAATCAAGGAATGTGAAACCACTGCATGTTTAAGCTGAAGCCTGTGAGAATCAAGATTTGGGATAGAGCAGCATATAGAATTTGATTGCAGGAGAAAAGACGAATGAAGAATGCGAGTCCATTACTGTAAATAAAACATGTCCTATCACACCATCAGAAGTTATCTGAGTGCAAAATATCTGCCAAACAAAAGTATGTATTTTTAATAGGTAATCAAAGCAGAAATGCTGCATGTGACTTCTGCAGTTCTTCTTCAAACACTGCCCTCACAAAAACAGGGTAAGTCTTAACATTTTTCTTCTCAAAAGGAATCTTCCAGAGCCCAGCTCAAATAAAGAGAAACTCTACAGCTATTCCTCAAGATGTTTTCACCGGTTTTTGGTTTAGGGCTTGCTTTTGTGCCTTCACAGATGCTCTCATTAATGGCTACTCCCATCCGACAATTCCCTTTTTCCCATGGGTAGTGCCTCCTAACCACTCACCACTCTTGCAGCAGTTTACTTCAAGTGTTACACCCACTTAAAACACCCAGTTAAACCCAAAATCATCTCAGAAGGGGCAATCGATTACCTGGAATTAAACAGCTACAAATAAGGCAGGTCCCTAGGCAGACCTTAAAATTTTCACATGAGATTCATCTGTATTGTTATGATAGTGCAAACACAGGTAGTCTGTTCTGGGATGCAAGGAGAGGGTAACTACTGTTTTCCTCCCTTTTAACGGTATTGCAGTTGTACCTGTTTGCCTTTGCAGAGTAGAGAATAGTTTAAGAAAAAAATCACAACAATCACCAAATTCTTTTTTAATCCCAGATCTTTGATAAATCAATATTTGAGCAGTGAAATTTAACGAAGTTGAATCCAAAATACTTAAAAAGGAAACATCCCATATTTCTTGCAAAAGAATCTACATTTTTTGTTTTCAATAATAAACCCAACAGAATTCCTTTTTTTCCCAGATGTGCAGAACAGCGATTCTTCTTCTTATTTTGTTTTGGTTTATAAACAGCACAGAAGGAGTATATTATTATCAGCAGACAGTTGCAGGCTCAGGGTTTGAGAAGCTCAATCCTCAAATTCATCACAATCTACTATTCAGCAACCATTAGCCCTTCTTTCTGGCTATGTCAAGTGAACAACAGGACAAAAGCAGGACTTTAACAAAAGAGGGATGCTGATCCTCCATAGCATTACCCGTTATGTAAGGCACCACAAAGGCCTGAATAGAGTTTTACAAGAAGCCCAAAGGAAAAAGAGGTAGCATGTTCATGCCTCAAAGATGAAGATTAAATGCTTGAAAGCAAATATTTAATCAATTTTAAGCATGCCTCCAACTGAAGAAAGCACCTTATTTAGTATCTTCATTCCTAACTCATTTACTACTAATTTTCCCCTCAGAATAAAAACTCTCCAAATCTACTGCATCACAAAACATTCCCGAAGTCTTAAGAAAATATGCAGCGAAAATATTTGTATAATTAACAATTAGCTGAACTGTAACATCACTTCCCAACTTGCTTTATGTAAGAATGTTAATACAGTTGGGTTTTCAATGCCATAATCTAGTTTCATCTAAATAAAACAAAATTGATTCTTGGCACATGGAAAATAAACCAACTTTCAATCTACACAAATGCTTTTGAACTCCCAGTCAGCTGTTCACGCACATTTCACTACAACACTGAAGTCCTCTTTGAACATCCCCAAATGAAAACAAAGCAGGCTATATAAACAACAGAGTGTAATGCTACATAATGTGAATCCTTCAGTAAGGCAAGGAGTGAAGAATTCTCACGTTGCTTTTTTTCCTCTCCTCTTTTATACACTGGAATTGGGTTTTCTTTGCCAGAAGGGTGTGGCAACCTTTTTCAAAAGGTCTGAGAGGCACCAATTAGTAAAATACCTCAAGAGTCACTGTTGCTTTACTAATTGCTGGGGATGAACTTGTTATCATGAGCTGATACAAGGCAGACCAAAGACTGTGGTTACTCTAATGCTGATACTTGCTCTGATGGACTTAAAGTCCAGTTGAAAAGAATTCATAGAAATTTAAAAAAAAAACAAACAAAAAACCTTGCCTACTTGCTAGGCTATCACAACATTACCTAGTCTGTCACAAGTAAGGCTCAGTATTGGGGGCATACTTCCTAAACTAATTCTGCTTTGAAGACCTGCTCCCTAAAATCTGCACCAGGACAAGATGAACAGAAATTCTTGGCCAAGTCCTAATAAAACCACCAAAAAGAGCTCCAAACTAGGTTCCAACAAAGCTTAGTTCTGTCACTTAGAACAAGCAGCTGGCCCTTGCAGGATCCAGGCTGGAACTGCCTCCTAGATGCTTTTAAAGGAATTGGTCCATGAAAGCCTCGTGCAAGCAGCAGCAGCTATAAGATCAAGTTAGAAATCTCCATGTTTTTGTTAATTTCTTTTCCATCACAAAAAACTGGAGCTACAAAATTTGCTCTTGGTAAATGACAAGACAGTATGTTTAACTGAGACCTGCCAAACTCAACACTGGAGCTGGGGCAGACAGCACTGACACTGAGGTGTGGGATCAATCCTCTCAGCCCCCTCTGAAGCAGGATGATACCTGCCCGAGCTTTTCAGAACCTTACACTCAAGCAGACCAAAATCCATAGTGCTTACTGGTAAGTAATGGCATTAAAACATATGCCTTGAAATCAGACAAAAGAGCATTTCATTCCACTGTCTACCAGCTTGGGTCACTTGAGCGACTCCAGCTTCTTCATCTGCAAAGCAATAAACACACCTACAGCACCACAGAGATTCCCTGAGAGCTGTGTCCAGAAGAAGACAGGAATTCCAGGGTTTTAACAAAGAAACATTTTTCAGACCTAGGGATTACAACCCTGGACCCCCACGCCTTTGCTCTGTGTATAAGATGAAATGCCAGAGCTTGCAGGGGCATCTCTCTTTACCATCACCTACAATAAATGTTTATTTGTACCTGTCAGGGAAGGAATTTCTAACGTAAATATCTCTCAAGCAACAACTTTAAGCACTGAGAAAACAATTCTAACGTGTCTAATTAATCTGAACTGCCTCCCCAGGTTCCTCTGTTTTGCTCAATACAAACATTTAAGACCTTGAGACACAGCAAAGCTTTTGTCATGACCAAGAAGTTAAAAAGCGTAACTGCCAGAACACATTCTCACATACATCTGACAATTACCTTCTCTGTCAGCCTGCATCTTGCTCTGAATGCCTGCTTCTATTCTGGTTCTCATCCCCAAGCAAGTCCGTGTAAACTGAGCTCAAAAAAACCCAAACAGCACAGGCATACACTGAGCTGTGTTAAATCTTGATTTAAAATAACAATAATAATAATAAAAATAATAAAACTCCCACTTGGCAGAATAGGGGGAGGGAATGAAAAGCAAAAAACACCAGCATAATCATTTCTCCTAAGTTAATTTTCAGCTATATACAAGCTCACAGGCTAAGAAAATAAATTTCCTTCAGGCTGAGAAGAAATGAAAAAAACTGCAGCCAAAGTATCTAAAGCAGAAATGTAAGCAGAAAACAAAATGTAATGATTTTTAACAGGAAAATGATACTTGGGTTTGATCATTAGTGCTGCCTGCAACTTCATCTGATTTGAATTGCAGCAAGATCTTGACTCTAAAAAAGGTTCCTATGTTAGCCTGATCCCAAACAGCACAAATCTACAAACTGAGAATCCCAAAACCTCACAAATCTGCAAACTGAGAATACAACCTGCACCGCTATTATCTTGAACTTCTGAGTTGAATTCTCATAGCAACTCACTCTGGGAAGCATTTTCAAGCTTGCAGAACATGTGAGCTGCACAACAGAAATCTATTCTGCTGCAGTATAATTCTGCACAATG